GGGGCAAAAACAAAAGTGTTTATAATTTTGTTCAGTGTAGTTTGTAATGATGCTACTTTTAAAATGACTGAGTAATAAATTACATTTTTGAGTAACTAGCCCAACACTGGTCAGATTACCTAGTCAGGACACATCTTATTTAAATTGTATGCAGTCTGTGTGTGCTGGCGGCACAATGTGTTAAATAGTATTATATTGTGATTATTTTGACAGATATTGCGATTGCAATATGATTCACAATGCTACGATTCAGACTTTTTCAAATTAGAAAATCTAAATCATGTGACATTTGTTGGGGTCTGAACAAACGTGCTCATACAGCGGGAGATTTTTATTTCACAAACGTTCACAATATCTAAGGAGCTGATACGACCCCTACAAATGTGAAGTCATTACATTATTTAATATGGACTTTAATATGACTGAGGGAACTGTATGGGGTTCTATAGACTCTCATTTTCCCATTAAATTGCAACCCACTTTTATAGAACCAGGCTAATTTATTCAGTGAGACAAAAATTCGTCTAAATTAATGACATTTCACAGCATTTGACACCAAACTGGGGGGACCTGCGTGCTGCTGATACTTATGAATATGAATAAATTCAACATTATCATAACGACATAACTGTGTTTACACACAAATGAGTCAGGCCTTTTCTTTCAAAATAAAAGTCAGACATCAGATAGCTACGCATTTAAAATTATATTCTTTTTTCCCGAGACCCAATCAGAGCACACACTTTTGTCTCGCGACCTACCAGTTGACAAAGCATGCGAGACCACTATGTTATTAGAAAGACGGTAGAGAGCCCAACAGAAAATAAATACAGACAAATATAGGCCAGCTCGAGCCGAACCCAGGTCATCACGTGCATTAATCTTCTGACAACAATAAACCCACGAGCCCTATTCCCTGATATAACATGACATATAACATGAAATATAACATGAAATAATACGTCTTTCGCTGCGGACTCCTTCACAGAGAGCTGCTGTAACGCAGTTTTCACACAGTCATATGATAACCGTCCGCGTTATTCAGCGTTGATAACAGGTCGCGCTCTGTTTCTCGTGCGCCTGTCTCCATAGACGTTCTGGTGTTTTCTACGGCACATATTTAAACTCTGTCGTTCACACAACATCAGCACCGTTAAAGGTAAATATCTTACTTTGCGGTGAAGTCGGCGTCGTCAGTGAGTGTCTCTCCCTCAGATAAATATTTAGAGCTGATCTAACCCAGCCCGTCTCTGACGTCACGCGTCCAAAGCACTATTAATCCGACGTCATCTTGACGCTATGGAGGCCCATTTCCGCCAAAGTGACGGGGAAAAAATGATTTTGAAAGTCATAATAATGAGAAACTTCAGCATAATATATAAATATTAGCATCTCAAAATAATAACTTTGTGATACTAAGTTTCTCAATATAATGACTTAGAGAATCTAAAAAATCTGTGTCAAGATAATCAATCTGATAATAAATGTGGATTTTAATTATTCTTTGATTGTCAGCACACATTAGGATTCTGGAAAAAGAAACTAAGCACAATTTTGTCACTCAAACCAACTATTCAATGAATCTAGAAAGTGGGGGTTAGTTAATGCTGTCCCATGACTTTCATGCTGAGGAGCCTGAAGGCAGCACTGTGCAGCCATGCACGTGACAGCAGACAACAGCCAATACAGACCCATGTATGGGAAGAGTGTGGAAAAAATAATGTTATTATGCATTAAATACCAGCCAGTCCAGAAATACTGAGCTGAGAGTGTCACTGTCCCCCTCCAAACACCCAAAAGATTCTGACTACACACCAAAAGGAAAGTCTCTAAATGCACTGTTACTAAACATTCTTAAGGATGGCAGCAGAGACAGACCATTATAAATCATTTTTTACCTTATAAAATAAAATAAATTAATAAAAATAAAAGGAGTAAAAAATATTCAGAGCATGGGATTAAATGACATTTTCTATTCTAAGGAATCCATTCTACAATTGATGTTATTAAGTATTACTGATATTGTAAAAGTCATTTTGGTTTATTGTATTTGTAAGTTTATTTTATTAAGATTATGTCACTATACAATCACTATTTGAGGAGGTGAAGTAGCAGCCATATATGATTCAAGCCTTTTAATTGATCCTAAACCGAAACTAAATTCTAATTTATTTGAAAGTCTTGTTCTTAGTCT